AGCTGGAGCCATTTGTTGCAGTTTTTTTGTTGTGTGGTTTTGCTTTTTTTTACTTTCTTTCTGTTTGTTTAATCGTGTTTTGTTTCCAAAGTTTTGTTTTTTTGCTGATGAATTGCTGATCAATTACTGCGGGGTTGTGTGTGTTTGTGTTTTTTTCTCCTCCCACTGATTCTAACTGCCTCATGGTGTGTGCTCTGCTGCTGTTATTTGTCATTGTCCTGTGCGGTGGCTGTGTGAGTTGTCTCTCCTTTTGCTTTCACTCTGCGTTGAGTTGGAGTTAGTTTGTGCTGAAAGCTACACGCAAGTGACAGGAGTGATGGCGATGATGATGACTGGCCGTGTGCTGCTGGTGTGTGCCCTTTGCGTGCTGTGGTGCGGTGCCGGCGGTGGCGGATGCACTGAGGGTCAGCTACCTGATGTCGGCCCACCTGTTATTTCTGCAAGCGGTGGTGTTGTTCCCGACACTGCCACAAGTCATACGGCGCCTGGTGGAGCAGGAGACGTTTCTGCACAGCAATCACAGTTGAACCCCGTTAAAGATTCCGCATCCGGGTCCCCGCCATTGCAAGATGCTTTAAAGCATGAACCACTGACAGAGCAGCCACAGTCTGACCACGAAAATACGGATCCACCACCACATTCAAAATCATTGCAAGAAGAGCGGCGTGATGGAACACCCGAGGATTCGCCAGGGGAATTGGGGGCTTTACCCAGTCAAGAGAACACGATGCATGCATCAATTGAAGGTCCAGAACTTAATAATCCTCCACCTTATTCAAGTAACAACAATACCGTCAGCAGTAATAGTGAGGAACGCACAGAAGATACTCCGAGGAGTACTGAAATTATTGATGCCGCACCGTCAGATGAGGGGCACGAACGTGAAAATGCCGCTCCTTCCTTGGAACAACCTCAGGAAACTTCCACAGCCGCACCGGCCATTACCACTCAAACAAGTTCCATTACGCCGCCCGACGAAAGTGGGAGCAACACCGTCAAAATGAGTGAGGCATCACCCCAATCAACAGGAACTACTCAAACAAATCATACGGCGACACCTGGCGACAGTGACGGCAGCACCGCGGCCTCTCACTCCACCTCCCCTCTTTTGCTTCTTCTTTTTGTTGCGTGTGCGGCTGCTGCTGCGGTGGTGTCCGCGTGAGAGTGAGGGTGAGAGAGCCATGCACCGCCCGCACACACACTCGTCCTTCTCTCTCTCACTCTCTGTGTGTGTCCCCTTGCATGGACTCTCGCCCTCACCTCATCCCACGAAGCACACACATAATGTGCCCATTGTATATATGCATGCACACCCATGCATGCCCGTTGGTGCTCTCTTTTGCACGACACGCACCGCTGCCGTCCTGCCTGGCTGCATGGGCGGAGCATCGTGACTGTTTTTGTTTCCATTGCGTTGAGTGGGCGACCTCTCTCTCTCCCTGTGTGTGTGTTTTGCTTTACGGGAGCAATGAGAGTGTGTGCGCTGGTCGACCCACGCTTCGGCTTTGTTTCTTGTTTTCTTTTTTATCGCTTTATTTGTGTTGTGGTTGAGTGCACCCATTCCGCAAGCTGCGTGTGGGTAATGATATGAGTCATTTTCGTGTGTGCTATCTCCTTTTCTCTGCCGTTGCTTTATTTGGACTCTCTTGTGGCGCACAGCTGCTCTGCATGTATAGGCGCTGACAAGCACACAGGCACATGCACAAGCAAATGCACACACACGCCATGTCGCACACACGTGGGCTACCCCTGCACTGATAGAGAAGCTCTTAGCGCGCTTTTGAATGTCGCAGCGGGCACCATTGGACTCGGCGTGTTGGCGCCTGTGGCTGCCTTGTCGACGCTCCGATCCGCTCTGTTGGAAGTGCCGGCGTGGTCGTGGGGTGGCGGGAGAGCAACGGCGGACACGGTGACCTCTACGCAGTGAGCTCACAGTAACTTCCTCGGCCAGTGGCAGTGCGGATGGAACTGTCATAATGATCGCACCGCCGGCACGCTTGTTGTCGAGTTCCCCGAAAGGAGAGCAGTGAAAGAAGGTCCGTCCGCATGACTCTTTGCATCTCCGCTTCAGGGCTGCGCATCACAATCGGGGTTGCCGTGCGGTTATGCAACAGGGTATGATCTGCTGGGAGAGCGCGCTGTGCGATGCTCCTGCACCTGTGACTGGTGCTGTGTCGTTGGCGGCTGTTGAGTGGCCGGTCACACAAATATTGCGACACCACGAGGAGAGCAGACCAAACACCCGCGTGGAGGGAGCGGTGCGTCTGGTGATGACTCTGTGCGACGGTGATGGACGTTCTCTCGACGACGGATTGACGGTTCGTCTATTTGGTGGAGTCGGTGCGCATGCTGTGTGTATGGCCGCCTCTGTGGTTTCCTGTTGCTCCGCTGCGTGGGCCGCATTCTGACGCATTACTGGCTCAAAGCCATTTTGTTTTTCTTACTCTTCTTTTTCCTTTGTTTCTCTCTTCCCGCATCCAGGCTGCGCTGCTGCTGCTACTCACACGAAACCAAGAAATGCATTTTACTCAAGTCATGCGCCAGCCACGCCACGCCACACCGCCTTTCCCACTGGTGGTGTTGCTGCTGATGTGCTGCGCCAGTGGGTGTATTGCTGATGCACCCGCCACACAATAACGCTGTGGATTTGACGTGATGATGAGGAGGAACGGCCCGCTGACGACTGCGGTGGTGCGTGAGGTGCCGCGCAAGGGACAGGGCGCCATGCAGGCGTACACCGTCGCCGCAAAGGATGACGACAGTGGCTGGGAGCCGATCCGCATTGCGGTTTCCATGGAGGATCTGGAGAGGCATGAACAAGAGGAAATACTGCGAAGAGGGAGAGGATGAGTGCTACAATGCATTGGGGCACAAGTTATCATGCACAGCAGAGCATTTCCTGACGGAGGCAAAGAAACAATTGTACACTGGGAAGAATTCTCTTCGGTGCCGTCAAACTGCACACTGAGCGACTCCTTGTGAAACCCACTGGTGGGACGATAACTGTACCGAGGGCTATGAATGAACCGTGCAGCCACTTTACGGTTCCTACCAGGCACAAGAGTGACGGTGTGCCGAATGGAGGTTTTATCATCTACGCTGCTGCTAGGCCATCAGGCACGGATAGCAGGGCTGTGTGGGCGGCCACGTGTAACACACTGAGTGATCTTCGTCCTTCCATTGGCGCCATGAAATTTGATCCAAAGTACATGACTGACACGGCGTGGAGCGCTCGCGTTGCCGCACACGAAATTGCGCATGCACTTGGGTTCAGCCAGGAGAGCATGAGAGAAAAGAGCCTGGTGAAGAAGCGAGAGAGAAGTGTGCGTGGGAAGCACCGCAGGATGGTGGCAGGGAAGCACGTTCAGGAGAAGGCGAAAGCGCACTTTGGTTGTAAGTCTCTCGAGGGCATGGTGCTGGAGGACGAAGATGGCCCTCGGGAAAAAGCGATTCTTCACTGGAAGGGACGCCACGCGCGGGACGAGCTGATGGCCCCCGCAGTTGGTGCCGGCTACTACACGGCTCTGACGATGGCGGCTTTTGCTGATATGGGATACTACCGTGTGAATTGGAGGATGGCGGAGCCGATGAGCTGGGGCAGCCGCAGTGGCTGCGACTTCCTGGTCAACAAGCGCAATACAACCTATAATCTTGCCGCCAAGTATCCTCACATGTTTTGCGATGCTAAAGACACAGAGACGCTTCGCTGCACCTCCGACCGCCGTCACGTTGGGACGTGCACCGCAAGCATCGTTGAGGACAAGGAGAGTCTGGTGGATAAGGACGTTTGCCCTGTCGTATCTTCCGAATTTCACGAAATATCGTCTGGGACAACGTACAGGACGTGCTCGGACGAAAATGTGGATTATCTCCGTGGGTCGCTGACTGGCGGCGGCTCGTGGTGCCTGGACGCAGAATTACTGGAGACGAAGGACGGTGATGACCATAAAAGCGTCAAGGGAGTGTGCGCGCAGGTGTCGTGTGAGGAGGGCACAGTGAAGGAGAGGCACCTCGGCAGCAGTGTTTTTCAGCCTTGCCCTGAGAACACTGACATCCCAGTGACGTTGAAATATTTTCAGAAAGATGGGAGGATCAAGTGCCCCAATTACGGCGAGGTGTGCACCATTGCCGCGAACGGCAGCAGTCTTGTCATCCCGAGCGCGTTGGTGGGTGGACAAGGTGACGAGCAAGAGAAGGAAGCAGAAGAGTCTGCGGTTGCTTCAGGTTCGCCTTCTCCGGAGAATACTCGTCCACAGTTGTCTCCTGTGGTGTCTGGTGCCTCCATTGAAAAGGAGCCTCCCGGTGCTTCGGCTGCGGGTGTCGCTGGTGGTGGCCTTCATGCCGGTCCGAGGTGTGATCCGGGGGTGCGGACCGAAAGTGGGGACAACACTCAGCGGCGAGGGAGGAGACCTGGCAGTGGAAGCGACGGAGCCAACAGAGCCTCCGGCCACGACGCCTTTTTTGCGCCATCACCTGGCGAGGACGTTGCACGAGCGGAGTGCGACCCGCGGGCGGATTGCCCAGCGGTGATTCCCAGTGCCTCCGCGCCTGCCACT